CACACACACACACACAGACACACACAGACACACACTCACACACTCACACACAGACACACACGCACAGACAGACACTCACACTCACACACAGACACACACACAGACACAGACAGACACTCACACACAGTCTGGTCAGCTATCCTTGTGGGGACTCTCCATAGGCGTAATGGTTTTTATACTGTACATACCGTATATTCTATTGCCCTACACCAACCCTACCCCTACACCTACCCCTTACAGGAAACTTTCTGCATTTTTAGATTTTCACAAAACTTCATTCTGTATTATTTATAAGCTTTTGTACCCGTGGGGACCACAATTTAGGTCCCCCTCCTGCGACTGACATTCACTTTAGATTGAACATGAACTCAGTCCTACTGTTATGAGTCTCAATCTTCACACACACACACTCACTCACACACACACGCACTCACAGACACAGACAGACACTCACACACAGACAGACACTCACACACACACAGACTCTCTCACACACACAGACACTCACTCTCACACATACACACACACAGACACACACACACACACAGACACTCACTCACACACACACACACAGACAGACACTCACTCACACACACACACACACACTCACTCTCACACACACAGACACACACACAGACACTCACTCACACAAACACACACAGACACTCACACACACACAATGATGTTGTATTGCAGTTGATTATGTGTCTTGTTTGTTCTTGATAGCCGAGTATGTAAATCCATTGTCTGTGTGACTCATACTTCACTCTCTGTAATATGTTGTTGACGTCAGTTTGTCTTCCATCCAACAGCATGGCTCGTGGACACCAGAAAATCCAGTCTCAGCAGAAAAACGCCAAGAAGCAGGCAGAGATCAAGAAATCCAAAGGCCACGACCAGAAGACCGCGGCCAAAGCGGCGCTGGTGTTCACATGTGCCGTCTGCAGGGTCAGTGGTAATTATAGCCGGTTATTTTTACCCCAACAGATCATCCTTCGAGGTTCTTTTCAACCAAGTTTCAATTCCCACTTATGACAGATTGCACTTTTTATGCTTTTTGAACTTAATTGTATACACTTTGGACATTTTCTGAACACGGGCCAAAGAAAGAAACCCGTGTTTTCCCTGCATGCTGTCGATATAAAGCTGATTTTATAAATGGGTGTGTGTAGGCAATGAATGTGTTGGGAAATTTTGTTCTCAAGCTGTAACTTGTCTCTGACTATGAGAGTTATTCAGTGTAGGTAACAAATCTGACTTGTCAGTACACCTTCTACCAGTTACCGGTAACTGAGAGCCACACATTAGATTCATGGGCACAAAACATCGAATGATGTTGGCAACCCATTTTACCTTTAGTTTTGTGTATTTTTGTGACTGCGGAGCCTCAGACAGTTAAGTGAATGAAATTTGCGAAAGTCGTGTGAATATGTCACTGTCGTAATTACAATGGATAGCTGTACACATGCATTTGTTGCTGCCGCTAAAGCAGTCCACTCACTCCCAGAAAAGACATTGCATTCAGTTTCTTGAAGCTGCGGTCACATTAGCGAAAAGCCTATTGTCTATTGCAGATCTCACAAAGACGTCGTCATCAAAGCTGGCAGCTTTCTATTGGGTAATGCAGTGAATTGACATGACCAACTTGAACCTGTTGTGAAATCTGTGTGGGGAAATCTTTAGTGAAATTCCTCATCGCCTGGATTCCTATTGAAATAATAGTTTTTCCCTGTGAAAGTGGCAGACAATGGTAAATGCGACCGCACCTTTATAATACTGTATGTATATTTTAGAGCTGCACATTAATGACTAAACAAATAATCATGCTTATTTTACCTATAATCACAGTTATTAATTAGGATTGTCCTCATTTGAAAAATTAATCATTAGAATTTTTGCACTGTCATGTAAGCAAGATATTAAGAGAACGTGAACTCACATGCAGGGTTTCCTGATTTATTATATTTACCATATACAATTAAAACACTCTCTACATTATGAAATACTGGTAAAAGCTTCTCTCAAAAGCCAAAACAGTGAAATTCCTGAACTTAATTGCAATGACTCCAAATTGTTAGCATCTGTTTCTATCAAAATGATAAAAGACTTTATATTGTAGCACAACCAGTTTCGTGAAAGGAACACA